TTGTGGCTAATATGTCTGCTTCAGTGCTTCTCTCTCACCTTTATTAAAGACAGCACTGGCTGCAAACCAGAAATTAGGTTGTTCTGAGTGATGTTTGTGGAAGCAGAGGTGTTCTCTGGGCAGGTTGAGCCCACCTCCTGTCCCAGGTGAGGTGAGGGCAGGAGCTGCTGTTGGCTGGTGCTGCAGCATCACCTCGGTTTCCTGGTGGCCCCATTCCTGTGCTGGCAGCACAAAGCTCTGCACACTGTGGGTACAAAAGGCTGCTTGAGCTTTTAGAACAGAATAAACCAGACCTGAGGCTGCTGTTGGGCTCGTTTGAGGGGAGGAAATGAGAGCTACCACATTCAGCTGATAAGGGTGGTCACACACAGCCCTGGAGCCCAGCCGAGGGATGGGTGGGGCACAGATAAGGTGGGGGAGTGCTCTGGGGAGCTCTGGTGGTGCTGCTGGGGTTCTCCATGCCCAGCCTGCATGGATTATGATCCAGATCTGATCCAGACACCCAACAGCTGCAGTCTCCCTGCCCCATGGTGGCCAGAGGGATTCCTGTCTGGCTTGTACCAGCCAGTGCTCACAGACACCATCCAGCAATTCCTGTGCAACCTCTAGGATCATTTTCACCCCGGGGTGTCCCTCGTGTTCCCAGCAGCTGTCTGGGACAGGAGCAGGGTGGCAGAGGGCTCTGCTGCCATCCCCCCTGCCAGGTGCCATCCCCAAGGAGTGATGCCCTTGGACCAGACATTTCAGGGCTGGAGGTGAAGGAGGCATTTGAGCAATTCCTGGTTGGTGTCATAGCAAGGAGCAGTTCTCAGAGCTTACGAGACCTTTTTACTGTGTGAAGGTTAATTATGGAAACCTGCCGTGTCTGGGAGAACATCCAAGAGCATTCCTCATTCCTGTCCATGTGCCCTGTCCATGTCTGTGCTGGCAGCTCCCAAATCCCTGTGCTTTGCTGAGTGGAGCTGGAAGCAGGAGGTGCCCGTGGCTGTGTGGAGCTCTGTGCCTCCTGCCCCAAGAGCCCAGCTGGGTGGGCAGTGAGTCCCAGCTCTGCCCAGTGCCAGGAGGGCACCGTGGGGGCTTCCTCCAAAGCCCACCGTGAGGGTCTGGGATTGGCCCCTGGCTGCTGTGGGAGTGATGCCCTGGGGAGGAAGGCAGCTCTGATTTCTCCAGGCAGAGTCAGTCCCTCCATCCCTGGTACCTTCGGTGTGGGTGGGATACACCTTTCCCATGGGCCACCTGCTTCAGCTCCTCGTGCTCTCAAGCAGTGAAGGCACATCCCCCTGGTTCAGGAGACGTGTTGGGACTTTCTGTCATTCCTGTAATAAACAGACAAGAAACTTCTGCTTACAGCCGAGAAGGAAAGTCCCTGTTGTAGGCAGTTTTACTTTCAGGCAGGATGGAAAAAAAATCACATCAAAAAGAAAGAAAAAAAGAGCAATTCTCTCCCCTTGGTGCTGGGGTTGAAGCTTCCCCCGCAGTGCCAAGCAGCTGCTTCCAGCTTTCCATGAGGTAACGTGCGAGCGATTTTGTGGCGGGGTTTTCTCCTCACACACTAATTGGCTGTGTGGGACGTTTTATGGGGATTTGGAACCTTGCTGTGGGAAGCTGAGAGCCTGGCCTGGGACTTCTTGTCAGCTTTGATTGTTAAAGTGAAAGTGCAGAGCTGGGGTTCTGGGAAGTGGCTTTCCTGCCTGTAATTCTGCTGGCCTCCAGTGTTCTGGGTTGCTCATTTTAGAGCTTTCATGGAATGTCCTGCACTTTTCCCTGTCCAGGCCTGTTCCAGGCCAGGGTGAGATGGATGGAGCACCAAAAGCACTTGAGAGAGAGCAATCAGGCCCCAGACACTCCACAGCCAGGAGCCATTCCTGCTGGAGCCACCAGTGTGTTGCCCCAGGGAAATGCCACAGCGCAGTGACTGCAAGAAGGGGATTGGGGAATTCTGTCCCTTTTTTTTCCACTTCAGTGCTGGTTTTCTTCCCTTTCTTCTGGAACAGTGGGAGCCTCTTCTCTTCCTTCGTTTTTGATTTCCACCCCCTCCTGGGGGTATTGGGGGTCAGGGTGTCCTGGCTGGGGGGGCTGGACCCACTGATGGACCATGGTGGCACTTGGGTTACAATCTCTGCCCCTTGCTGGGTGCAGGGATGGGAGAGCTGCTGTGGATACCTTTCCCTTGGGAAACTCCATCCAGCCTCAACAGCTGCTGGACAAGGGCAGAGGCTTTGCTGGGGGAGGATTCTCTGGTGGCTCATAGGATTGTGCACCATTGGGAGCTTTTTCCACAGAAGGTCTTGGTGTTGGTTTCCGCTGTGGGGTTGTCAAGGCTTTTCCTGAGGGCTCATCTCCCATGGGGAGCTTCTTCTGGAGCATGGAATGTAATGGGGCTGCTGGTCTACCTTCCCTGCCTGCAGTCAGGAAGCTGTGGGATTTATCCCCTGGTTTCTCAGGGATGCACAGACCCTGCCTGTACCCTGTGCCTGCTCCTCCTGCTATGCAGCATGAGTGGGACAACTTCTGCAGCATTTAAACCTTAGATCTCAAAGATACCGAGGTGCTATAAGCTCCTGGAAATTGTTTTCTGACTAGTGGAGGCAAGGAGAGGGTCTTTGTGCCCTGCTGAGGGTGGGTATAGTGTTTGATGAGCCTATATTAGACATCAGAGAATCCTGGCATCTGGAGATGCTGGAAACGCATCTCTGTCACTGCTGCCTGGAGGGTGGAGGGTCTCCAGGCAGCAATCCCCGGGCTCACGCTGGATTCCCAGTGGAGGCTGCAGCCAGGGATGTGTGCTGGGATCAGGTCCCGTCACCCTGCCCGAGGTGAGGCTCCTGAGAGGTGACAGGGAGGGCTGGGAACGCGGCTGGAATGGGTGCCCCTGTGCCCAGCGTCCGGCTGTGCCCCACGGCAGGAGTGTTTGCCTGCCCGGCCTTTCCTGCACTTCCCTGGGAAAGCACGTCCGTGGGAAGGGCGGGAAGAGGAGGAAGCTGGCTGCTGGCTCCCTCTGGGACAGGACACTTGGAAACCTTTTCTGTGACAGCACTTACACACGAGGAGGGCTCAGTCTGGGCTGCCCAAAGCCCCCCCTGCTCTAGGGGGCTTCTCCCTGTTTGAGGGGCTCCAGGGGATGCAGGACTTGGCACAGCAGGCAGAGCCTGGACCTGGTTCCCGGAGAGGAGAGGTGGAGGTTTGGGGCCCTGGCCCCCTGCCAGCCCGCGTGTGGGGGAGGCGGAGGAGGGAAGGAAATGTCGTGCTCTGACTCCGCATTTCCACCACGAGGATGGGTGGCCGAGCCCAGTCCTGCACAGAGCATCCTGCTGCAGCCCTGGGCTGCTCCCAGCCTGCTGGGGTGGCCGTGGTCACGCTGGGTGTCACCAGGCTCCAGCGTGGCCCCGGCTGTGCCCAGCCATGCTCTGGTACCAGCTGAGCCCCACTGCGGGCAGGGGTGAGCTCAGCCACGGCCGTGCTCCTGCTGCCCTCCGCCAGACCCATTCCTGGGGCAGGATCCACAGCACAGGTGGGAGGTTGGTGCTTTTGCTCATGGCTGGGGGCACACGGAGCTGCAGTCGCTGGCTGGGATTGACCCCACGGGATTTCCATTGGGAGTGAAGGGGTGGAGGAGTTGGGCAGGAGTGGGAACTGGCAGGGGCTGTGGGAAATGCCTGTCCCTGGGTCCTGCCTGCTCCAGGAGTGTGGGATGGATCTGCTTCCAGAGCTGGCGTGGCCAAAGAGCATTCCTGGGACTACCAGCCTTGGTGCCCTCCTGCTGGACAGATGCAGCCATGGGGTGCCCTCCCCATGGGGTGCTGGGTTCTTTGGGAGGGATGTGGTGCTCCACATGCACCAGCTGACCCAGGATTGCTCCAGGGTTGAGTTCCTCACTGGGATTGCTGGGTCTGAGCCCTGTTGGGGGCAGGAGGGGTCAGCCCTGGGTTTTGGCAGGACTCATGGCACAGCTAATGACAGCTGTGAGGTCTGGACCAAGATCCAGATGCTCATTCTGAAACTTTCTTACCAAAACTTGCCAAGTATTTGGGTCAGGGGTTTTGGCTTGGTCCTGTCCTGAACTGAGCTGCTTATTTGGAGCTTTTATTTTTTTCACTGCGTTTAAGTTTGGAATTGGGAATGCAAACTGTAGCCAGAGCTCTGGCCCGAGGCAGTGGGTGGATGAGGATGGAATCAGGGTATTCCAGTGCTGGGTGGGTCTGGCCTCAGCCCACTCAGTGCCGGGTGGTGCCTCTGGGAGGGGCAGACCAGACCCTGAGGCTGCCAAGGCATTTTCTACCGTTGAGGTCAAATGTTGTCACCCTCAGCAGTAGAAATGTCATCGGGCCGATGGGTGCTGACACTTGGCAATGACTTGCTGTGGCTGCGGGAGCTCTGGGCTGTTTTCCCTCAAGTTCTCTAAACAGGAATTTCCCAGGAAATCCTGCTGGCTGCTGAATGGGCTCATCTGGGTGATGACTGATCCCTGTGTGAGGGGTGGGAACCAGCTGGGCGAGGGGTGAAGAACCCCCACCAGGGATTTGGTGGCCACTGGGATGAACACCAGCTTGAAGGAAGAGGTGGGGAGGGCTGGGTGGTGGGGAGGAAGGGCTCCTTTGGCAGCCTTTGCTCAGGGATGTTTGCAGAAGTGATCAGCCCTGAGCTTTGACGAGCTCTGAACTCATGATTACAAAGAAAGATCTTCCTCTCTTGCCTGGCCAAGAACTGTGTTTGGTTTGATGGGTTCAGAAACAAAAAGTTTCATCAGAAGGTTAAAGCACTGTCTTGTGGCCCTGTCATTTAGGTGGCATCACTGTCACCCCCTGCTGTTTGCCCGGTGCTGGCAGAGAGCTGCAGCTGAGCTGTGTCTGCCCAGGACCACCACTGGCTCTGCAGGGTGCATCTCCTCTGCTCTGTGCAGAATGTGGGCTTGGTGTCAGGGCTCTGGGGGGGTGGTCTGCATTCTCAGGGTGTTGCTGCTGCTGCTGGGATGCTCAGGCTGCTGCTTTGCTTTCTTACAGAAATCGAAGCCAAGAAAGCGTGTGACTGGCTCCGGGCAGCGGGATTCCCCCAGTATGCCCAGCTGTACGAAGGTGAGAGCTGCCTCCTGCCTCTGACCCTGCTCTGTGCCTGCTCAGAGCCTGTATCTCATCCGGATTCCAAGGGGGGCTGCAGGGACAGCACCCACAGCTCCAGGGAGAGGAGGGGACAGAGGGGTTGCTCACTGATTATGTGATTGTGTGTAACACTTTGAGCTCTTGGTCATGGCCTGGAGAACCAGCCAGTTAACTTCCCTGCATTCCTGAACTTTTCCCCTTCAGGCAGGGCTCTGAGGAATCCTGGGGCGGCTGCTTTGGCCACGGGCAGCCAGGCTTTGGAGAGCCATCAGATCTGATGAGGTTCAGAGAATGTTTGCCATGGGTGGGAGCATAGGGGCAGCCAGTGTAGGTAACGTGGAGAACGAGCATGTTCTCCCTCCTTCCGTCCCTCCCCATTCCCACAACCCCTGCCCTACTCCAGCCTGCTCTGCCTGGAGCAAACCACATCCCTGTGCCTCCCTGGGCACTGGCCATGGGCATTGCCCGGCTGGGATTCCTACTGCCAGCTCCTGTGCCAGGCGCCCAGGGCGGTGGCAGGGTGGCTGTGGTGGTGGCTCTTGCCTCGGGCTCAGCTGTGTTTGGGATCCATGGTGGGATCCTGGTCCCGGCTGGTGCGAGGAGCGGCGGCTGCAGCCGGTCCCGTCTGGCTGGACAATAGCGGGAAGCGAGGCTCTGGTGGCCGCAGCCGCGGCCATTGTTCTGCCGGGCACTTCCCCCGCCCCCCGCAGCACCAGCTCCCCAGTGATGGCTTTAGGAGCAGCTTGTTTGCTGCCAGTACCTATTTTGGGGGGCAGGCCCCACGTGCAAGGACAGGCTGGGTTCCTGCTGGGACACCCAGCCCCAGGTGCTGGCCCCAGACAGTGCTCACAGCTGGGCAGCAAGGAGCTGGTGCTGGAGTCTCTGAATGAACCAACCCTTCTCCAGCCTCTGTCCACAGAACTCCCCACATCCTCCAAGGGTTTCCCTGTTTCCCTTCCCGTGGTGATCATGCTCCATGGCTTCATGAACAGATGGGTTGAGACCCTTGGGGCTGAAGGTCCAGGTCCCACATGCATGATCCCAGGAGAGCTGTCTCTGAGTGCACAGGGCTGAGGAGGAAACTGAAGGGAAGCCCTTGGGCATCTTATCACCCTCACCAAATGTACCTGGGAACCTGGGCATGCACCACCTCCAGGTCATCTCCAACCACTTGGGTTTTTCCTCCTCTTCCCACACCTGCTGCTGTCCTTTATCCCTGATGGAGTGGCTGGCTCGGGATCTGCCACTGATGTCACTTCCCTCCCCAGAGTCGTCATTCCCTCTTGACATCAGTGCTGTGAAGAAGGACCACAGCTTCCTGGACCAGGATTCCCTCAAATCCCTGTGCAGGTAACGCTTCCTTCCCCCTCTGCACATGGAATCAGCACAGGGATGTGCCACAGACAAGGGCAGCAGCCCCGGCTGATGGGGTGGTGGACTCAGGGGAGTGCCTGATGGGGTGGTGGGCTCAGGGGAGTGCCTGATGGGGTGATGGGCTCAGGGGAGTGCCTGATGGGGTGATGGGCTCAGGGGAGTGCCTGATGAGGTGGTGAGCTCAGGGGAGTGCCTGATGAGGTGGTGAGCTCAGGGGGTGCCTGATGGGGTGGTGAGCTCAGGGGGTGCCTGATGGGGTGGTGGGCTTAGCAGGGTGTCTGCCTTTCACCTTGGCTGGCCTCAGAGCCTGCTCCAGCACTGTCACTCCCTCTGCAGTGAAAACTCAGCTGTTCACATCAGGGAGCATTGCTGGTGGTGGGTGGTTCCAGGGAAACAACAGGTATTTATGCTCCCAGGTGTGATGCTGGTCCCAGCTGCAGGTTTGGAGCTGCCAGCAGTGGTGTGCAGGGAGCAGCATGTGGGGGACTCGGGCAGAGCAAGCCAGAGCTGGCAGGCAGAGTGGGACAGTGACCGGATGGTTGGTCTGCATGGGCCATGTGTCACTCGGTGCTGCAGGTGACTCAGCCCTGCCTTGGCTCTCGGGACGCGTCATCACACCCGTGTCCCTGCGCTGGCTCCACACTGTCCCTCCCACCCAGAACAGAGAAGAGGCAGCAGCAGGGTCTGTTTGCTGTTTGTTTCCCAGCAGAGAGGCTGCTGTGCTGGGCAGGAGGGGATCCCCGTGCCATTTCCTGGGTGCAGTGAGGCAGAAGGTGATGGGAGATCCCTCGCTCTCTGAGCTTTCAGCTCCTTTAGTCATTCCCTGTCTGGGGCACAGGAGCTTCTGAGATGATTTTGCTTTAATAGCCTGGAGCAGACCACCCCTGCCCACTTGTGGAACCGGTGGCCCCAGCAGCTGGCATGGGCATGGCCTGGTTTTGGCTACCATCTGCTGGCATTGTCCCCTTGTCAGTTGGGTGTTCCTGTGACTGTGGGGCCACAGCAGCAGGTGGCAGGTGACCAGCACAGCCAAGGCTCTAAGGCAGGGAAATCAAAAGAAACCAAAGCCATCCCTGTGACTGCAGCAGGGCTGGGACGGGCTGGGACCAGGGTAAAGCCGCCCTGTTTCTTGCAGGAGGCTGATGACCCTGAACACTTGTGCCTCCATGAAGCTGGATGTTCACTTTCAGCGTAAACAGGTAAGTCCTGGATGCTCGAGGCAGGTGAGGGGCTGAGGGGTGCAGGGGATCATGTGCATGATGGTGGGTCAGTGTCCTGGTGAGCTCTGGGACTGCCCTGGGCACAGAGTGGCTCCTGGAGGCCTCCACTGCCAAAGGGGTCCCGAGCTGGTTTAAGGGGGTGAACACGCTGCTCCCCTCCCCAGCTGGGGCCATGCTGGTGGCTGTGCCCCTCTGAGGTGGGGGGATGTGCTGACCCTCCTCGGCTCCAACCGACTGATCATCCCCTGCTCTCAACTGCCCACAGAATGAAGACTCCGAGGAAGAAGACCTGTGTGCCATCAGCAACCGGTGGGCCTTCCAGAGGGACAGCAAAAGGTGGTCACGGGTGGGCTCCGCCGATGTCCTGTCCCAGGGCTCGGAGGCCCCGAGCTGCGCCATGCGCCCGGTGTCCAGCCGGGAGAGCGTCCTCACGGACCTCAGCACCAACCCCGAGGCCACGTCCCTGCACAGCACGGGCAGCGTGGGCAGCGTGGCTGGCACGGGCGGCACGCTGGGCACTGCGGCCGTGCCATGCGAGTCCCCGTCCCCGCTGCGTGCCACTGCCAACGCCTCCAGCTGCAGCCAGAGCGAGGGTTCTGCCCCAGAGCAGCCCTCGGGCCAGGGAGAGGGCTCTAAGGAGAAGCTGAAGAAGCGACGCTCTCGCAGCTTCCTGAAGCGGATCGAGTCCCTGCGGAGGAAGGACAAGGAGAAACGCAGCCCAGACAGGAGACTGGCTCCACGCAGCAGCGCCACTCTCCCACCGGGATGGGGCTCTCTGAAGAGCAATGGGGACCTTGCAGCCACCAGGACCAACTCCTCTAAAAAAGGGATACCTGCCTCTTTCCACAGCAAAAAACACTTCTTCTCGGTATCATACAGGACTAACCGCCTGCTCGGCCCCGGGGACACCAAGGGGAGCTCTGACCCCAAACGCAGCGGAGTCTACCTGGAGGATTACAACACGGCCACCACCGCCGGCGGTGCCTGGGCTGCTGCCGAGTGCCAGCGCCGGGCTCGCCATGGCGATTGCCTGGTCTATATCCCCTGTGACCACAAGCCCGGCACCTTCCCCAAATCCCTCTCCATCGAGAGCTTGTGTCCCCTGGCCGGCAGCTCGCTGACCCACTGGAACGCAGGGAGCGCGGCTGTGGGGCTGGGAGGGGGCGGCAGCAGCAGCAGCGTGGAGGGCTCGTCCTCCCCGAGGGGCTTTGCCCGCCGGCGCCGGGGCTCCTGCAGCTCCCTGGGCAGCCGTGTCAGCATCTACGACAACGTGCCGGAGTTCGGCAGCAGCGAGGATTTCTGCAAGGACGGGGAGGTCACCTACGAGAACCTCGACGACATCCTGCAGCACGTTTGGGGGCTGCAGCAGAAAGTGGAACTCTGGTGTAAAGCCGTCTTCCCTGGCTTGGATGGGGAGGAAGGGGGCGAGGAAGAGGAGGATGAGGAGGAGTCGGACTCGGGAGGGGAACCCTCCAACCTGCATTTCGAAGAACAGTCCATGTCGGATGTTGGCACCTCTGCCAGTGACTTTGATAGCACTGGGAACTCCCTCAACGAAGCTGAAGAGATGGAGACACGGGAGCGCCGGGATTCGGGGGTAGGAGCATCACTCACAAGACCCTGCAGGTATCACAGAATCCCGAGGTGGTTTGGGTAGAAAGGGACAATAGAGACAGCCTCGTTCCAACCCCCCTTCTATGGACAGGGACACTTTCTCTTCGCTCCAAGCTCCATCCAGCCTGGCCGTGTGCGCTCCCAGGGACGGGGCTGCTGCAGCAGGGAGGGGTGCCCAGCCCATGGGTCTGGGGAACAGCGCCCGATCCTGTCCCCGGGGGGCTGGATGCCCGTGTTCCCGGGGGGCAGAGGATGCCCGTGTTCCCGGGGGGCTGGATGCCCGTGTTCCCGGGGGGGGCTGGATGCCCGTGTTCCCGGGGGGCAGAGGATGCCCGTGTTCCCGGGGGGCAGAGGATGCCCGTGTTCCCGGGGGGCAGAGGATGCCCGTGTTC